GAAGCTTGCCTGTGTGGAGAAACTGCCATTCCTGTCTGCGAATTCAAAGCTGCTTATTTTGATATGATTAGAATAGACTCTCAGACAAACTCTTCGCATCTCAAAGATGAGTTTCAGGTATTCGCAGTCCCTACTAACTCTTCATGTGACAACAGTTTTTTTGCCTCTAGATACATTTATTTTAAGGGAAAGGGTTTTCATATCACATTTGTAGCATTTGATCCCTCACTTTTAGTCCACAAAATAAAGAACCCATGTTTATGTGCCTTGCAAAGTTGTTTTAAATACAGAATATCCTTCTTTGAATAAAATGGCAGTAAATGTCTGGAATAAACAGCACTGACTAGGAACCACAGGGAGTTTTGGCTTGCATTTGCACAGCTAAGGCATAGCCCTTTAGGGCTCCAAAGGATCCTCTTTGTTTTATTCCTTTCAGAGGGGATGGTGTCATGAGGGATCTGTTCAGTGGTACACAGAGCACCTTTTACACCTGCAGCTTAACCCCCCATGAAAAGCCCCAGCACATCCATCATAGGAGCTCTTATTTGCTAGTGTCTTCTTGCCTAATGCCTCACGTTTTCCCATCGTGCGGTATTTTAAATTAAACCTTGGGGAATCTCGAGTCCACTGTCTGTTGGTTCAGCGTGCTAAAGCGAGTGTCCTCTCTCCCTTAGACCCTGAATTCTGTGACCCCTCGCCTGCAGGCGGAGGACTGCAGCATAGCCTGCTTGCCAAGGAACCACGACAAGAACCGCTTCATGGATATGCTGCCACCTGACAGATGTCTGCCTTTCTTAATTACTATTGATGGGGAGAGCAGCAACTACATCAATGCTGCTCTTATGGACGTAAGAGACTATCTTCTTTGTCTGCGTGGTGTGCCGTGAAAAGCTGTGTAATGTGAGAGAGAGCGCTTGCTGGTTTAAGAAAGGGTAACTCTTTCTTACTCTAGTGCCCAGTAAAACAGTCCTAACAAAGAAGGGTGGGGGAAACGGGTAAGAAACTGCACCAGGTTGCGTTGCTTGTTCATAAGGGTTTTTATCTTTAGTTTTATGCATCCGTGTGGGACCCACTGGAAATCTCCCCTTTTCTCTCTCTGCTCTCCAGCCCTCCAAGTCTCAAATCTCAGCAGGATCTCAAAAATCTGCCATTTGTCAGGACGTAGCTATTACCTACCTGAGCATGAGGATACTATCACTGTCTTAGCAGAAAGGCTGTGTATATGGAGGCAGGAGAGACAGAGGGAGAAGGGGAAAAAAAGTTTCTTTCGCATGTTTGGGGATAGGGTTGGCTTTGTTTGTCATATTTTGAGTGGTAGCTCTTTAAAGATCCTTGAAGTTTGAGTGACAGAAGTATTGTCGGGGGGGAAAGTGAATTAATGGAAAGAATGGAGGTGAACCTGCTTACAGGTGTCCGATCGATAAAACAGTTCATCACGTGTGCTGTCAGATACCTGCCTGCGCCTGCCATTAGCACATCCAAAGTTAGGCCCCTAAAGTTGCCTTTACAGAAAATACTTAAATAAGTGGCCTGATTTCTAGGAGCATCCCCTTTCCTCAAAAATGAAGTGCTGTCAGAAACTGTGGTGTCAAGAAGAGATGCTGGAATAAAATGGCAAATAGCAGCAGAAATCATCAGGACAGAATGGTGTTCATCCCAGAGTTCTGCCTGAGCTAGCGCAGGAAGCGTTTGAACTGCAAGCAAAATGCAGTCCCTAATCTCACAATTAGCTGTTGTGCCAGAAAAATAGAAGAGTAACATGTGTGAGACCAATCTATTAGGGATTCACTGGGGCTGAATGGATGAATTAGAGCAGCGAGCAAAACTTTTGGTACAAACCAAAATTGTTTAGAATTGCAGTTAAAATTACATTAAGCACCTGGATAAAATTGATGTGCTATGGAGCAACCAACACAGCTGCACAGAGGCGTGTGGTTTGGGGAGAAAGGAAGATAACGCAGGAGGGGTCCGGGCATGTAACAGTGTGCGGCAGGCAGGGACAGGAACCAAGCGACATATTAATGGATGAGCAATCAGAAGCAAGTAAGACAGACAGAAATGGTAGTAATAAAAGGAAAAAAGCAGCAGAAAAAAAAAATAATATATTCCAATGAAGGCATATAACAAGGCTATAGGTACAGGGTTAAAACTTCGGGTATTAAAAGCTTTTTCTTGCCCTTTCTCTTCTGTTTCTTTTAAGACCGATTTATTCAGAGTGGGGGACCCCACTGCTGGGCAAGGAGAGGGGACTTTTGGTAGCAAAACAGAAATGGAAACTTTTCCCTTTCTACAATGTATTGGTCCCTGTGTTCCCACAAGAAGGTGTCTGCTTCCCAGTGTGACAGCGGATCTCCTGCCTGTTCTTTTTGAAAACCTGATCATCTCACACTCAGTATATTCTCTCGTCTTCGGAAAGACCAGAAATGATGGGGAAGAGGGCTAGGAAGACATCAGCTAGTACATGTTTTCTTTCTTAAAAATATAAGGGACGAATCAATACTGGTTGTTCCTCTTTGCTCCCTGGGCAGATCTAGGAAGTAGGACAGAAGCTGCTCCTACCCCAATATGCTTTCTACGTTAGAAAAGGATAGCAAACATAGATAAAAAAATTGTCAGCCTCCTTATTCTGTTGTCAAACAAGTACTGATGCTAAAGACATTAATTTGTTATCTTCACAATTTACAGCAAGTAGAAAGGTGAAAAGAACTGTGTATTTTCATTCTGGGCCTCACACTATGTTCTTCGAGGGTATGTTGATATATTGCACGTGTAGATCCCTCATATCAATCTTCAAACAAGCAAACTTCCATACCAAAAGTGATTTAGCTGCCCTACCAAGTCTTTCCCCTAGGCTAATTTACTCTACTTAATGCAGTAAAAAGCAGCCAAACTGCTTTTGGTACCAGCATGGGTGCTCAACACGGGGATCTCTGCGTTGCATACAGCAGTCCCAGCACATCGTCTTCAAACTGGTGACTTACAATCCCACCCGCCTACAAGAATATTCTGTTTCTCAGATTAACCTGTTGGTTCTTCCTTGCCAGTTCATATCTGTATTCCTTCACAGCAAAACTCTTCCGAGCATAGTTGCAAATCGCACACAAAATACTTCTGATCTCTCCTCTTCTGCTTGCTGCTCGTAATACATGTGCTGCAGGGACTTAGCCCTTCTGCTATTAGTTGCATCTCAGCTAACCTGTGCAAGGCTGGAAATCCCTGTTTGCAGTTGTGTATAACACAGCGTACAGAAAATTGAATCTGCTGTCACGACAGGAAATGGTATTTTGCTGCTTAACTTCTGCTTTCTCCTGGAAATGGGCCCCAGTTGTCCTGAAGGTCAGTTCTGTGGGTCACCCTGTGGCTGTGGCACCGAAACGGAATTTGGGATTGAGTTTAGTCCCCGGTTCAGTCACAGAACTCACATGTAACCTGCTGTGGATAGGGTGACCTTCTGAGACCTCTGCACCCCCCTCTGCAACACGCGGGGTGAAGGTTTCCTGCTCGGTCTCCTGGACACAGTGCCTGGAGCGGAGTTGCTCAAGCCTCAGCTCCGCAGAGCCCTGAAGAGCATCTTCAGTGCCCCATGCATATCTGAACTGAAACGGGGCTTGGCTGTAACAAAGCAGGCGGCAGAGCTGAGCAGAGTAACCTCTTGGTCCTTACTGGAGACGACAATGTATTTTTAACATCAGCTTTGGTGAAATCCGGTGTAATTGATGTCGCAGCTTTGTTCTATTTATGTGTTTTTTCTGTTGCAGCGTTGGAGTGGAAGTTACGAAGTACTTCCTCTACCGGTGCTAATAGAATTGTTTGCCTTTACAGAGCTACAGGCAACCAGCAGCTTTTATTGTCACACAACATCCTTTACCAAACACTGTGAAAGATTTCTGGAGATTAGTGTATGACTACGGCTGTACTTCTCTTGTGATGTTAAATGAAGTCGACTTAGCACAGGTTAGTTTGGGGATCAAGTTTTCCATGTACCATCGCATGCTTTAATCACTCTGGATCCACTGCATGATCAAAATGTAGAGCAGTGCAGTGACTTTACAGTTATTCCCTGCTTTACAGCAACTAATTAACACTAGCTACTCAGTAAAAGTTAGGTGAGCTGTCTGCAGTGGAACAAGGCGATGCTCAAGTTGTAACTCACCCTTTAATTACCATTACCATTTTGCTCTGGCGCAGGGCTGCCCGCAATACTGGCCCGAGGAAGGGATTCTGCGGTACGGTCCCATCCAAGTGGAATGCATGTCGTGTTCAATGGACTGCGACGTCATAAACCGAATTTTCAGGATATGCAATCTAACAAGAGTAAGCGTTATCGTAACAACATGTAACATAAAAATATGTCGGTTTTAACACTCTCCAGGCTCTTGTGGTTTGTCGTTTTGAATAATAGTAAAGTACTAATGTTCGTAAGACATTACCCAGAAAAGAGTCAGTCAAGCATCGATATCTAATACCGATTTCTAGCACTTTTCTATTAGCTGCACGCTGAGCAGAGAGAGCAGTAAGGTTGCAAGAGTGTTGTTCTGTGGCATTATCCCTGATGAGTAGAAGATGTATGAGAAGTATTCTGTTTGTTTGGTGTGCTGTGAGAGAAATATCCCTGTAATGAACATGTAGAGTGGCAGGTGTTTAATTCATAGCTTCTGTAAGACATCTTCCGTGGTGAATCAGGAACAGGAGCGCTGAGGCTGGGTTATGCAGCCGGCACCTTCTCAGCCTAAGGTGCGAGAACCGCAGCGTAAAAGGAGAATTGTGGCATCCTGCAAAGCGGCGTGTGAAAAAACTCTGAAAGCTCCTCTGCCTCTGAAGGATTCTGCACCACTCTGCCTCAACCTACATTTATCATCTTTTTCTCAACTTCAGTAGCAGTGCCGGTCTTGTGTTCTTGTTGTCTCTTTCACACCTTGCACCATCTTGTCTTTTTGCTGTCCCATAGTGTTTCACACTACCGCAGCAGCACCTCAAACCCCGTTTGCCATGCAGCGTCTCCTCCTTTAGCTCACCTCTACAAATCACTTATTTATGTTGCCTCCAGGTAACGAGTTACAGATGCTTGTGCCACCGTTACATGTGCAGTTAACCAACAATACCTATTCTATTTACCATTACTGCTTTGTATCTTTCATCCAATACTGAATTTACATGCCATCAACTGCTACTTGGAGTATATGTTCAACTTTCATTAATGTTGAAGAATAGCTGTGGGGAAAACTAATTATTGTGTCTACAAAGATTTTTTTTTTATTATTTTTGTCATGTTTTCATTTTTCAAAGTGCAGAGATCATCATTTGCATGTGGCCAGTATTTTATCCAAACCTTTGCTTTGCTTATATTCAGAGCTAAGAAAAACATTTTCAGCTCTTCATACCTTGTTTGGAAACTACAGGAAGCTAAGGTGTAGGCACACTGGCAAATATTACGCCATAGCGCTTTTTTGGTTCTGTTTTGAGACTTCCTCTTTTTTCTGGTTCATTTCTTATTTTCACTTTTTCCATTTCTTTTTTTTTTTTTTATGATGTTTTGATTTTCTACTCCTCTACTTCTCTTTGTCTCCCATGCCTTTTCGCCTTTACATCTTGCTTCTAAATATCTCTCTGCTCTGTTCTTCCTTTTCTAAAATCCGCATTCCTACTCCTTTTTATCTTCTTCAGCTCCAAGAAACTGAATAGACTATTTATTCTTCCAATTATTGAGGCCTTTCTTGTGACAATCTAATTCTATTCAAATCTCCCTGTGTAGCAACTAGCACATGGGAGGCTCATAGACTGGCAGTAAGGCTCTCATGATTGTCATAGTCTGGCAAAAAGGGAAGACTTCACAGAAAATAGTCATATTTGTGCACCACTGTTACATGTTGTTTATTTATAATGGGGTCAGTTCATGCATAGGAACCAAAGGTCTGTCTCTTCGTTTCTGTAGGTCTAAGAATTTAACAATGATGTTCTTAATTGATTAAATTAATGATTTAATTGACTGTTGTTTATCCTTAACAGATAAAAAACCTTGGCACTTCGAATCAAGGGAATTTGTCCATTTAGAAGTCAGCATAGGTTACATTAGTGATTGATAAACTGTGATGTTGTCTTCAAAGTAGTTCCCTTTTTTTCCTTTTTTTGACATCTTCCTTGAGCTCAAGTGATACAAATTAATGGAGACCCTACCATGCCATGTATATACCAATGTATATACATGTTTGAATCTGTCCATAATATAAACACTTAGGTTTCATGTTACTTTTATATTTTGGTTTTCTAAACAAAGATGTAAAGGTGCCATATTGACCTAAAGTTCTTTGGTTTCCCTCAGCCACAAGAGGGCTATCTGATGGTGCAGCAATTCCAGTATTTGGGATGGGCTTCTCACAGAGATGTACCAGCTTCCAAGAGATCCTTCTTGAAGTTAATTCTCCAGGTTGAAAAATGGCAAGAGGAATGTGAAGAAGGGGAGGGCCGGACCATCATCCATTGCCTGTGAGTAATTGGGAAAAAGTCAAATTGCTGCTTTTCAAATAAATGCTTATAAATTAGTTCTTGTTTTAAGTTCAAGCAGTATTCTTATGGCTATGTTCTTTCGCACATGTCCTTGTTTCTTTTATTTAAAAAAAAAAAAAAAGAGTACCACTGGTACTGTAGGTTGGCTTTCAATCAACTTTTGGATTTGTCTATGTCAGGTGAAGGTACCGTGGGAATGAATATTTTGGACATGATACTACAGTAATACGGTGTTTTTCATGTTTTCTTCTGTACAGTTTCAGTAAGGAAATGTTTTATGCTGAGTTCCAAATGGTTACTTTTTCTGCATCTCTTGAATTATGCATTTCTCCTTACTTTTAAAAAAAGGCTTCTATTTAAATGTTTGGAATTAACTTATGGTCCCTTTCTGCCCACCCCTCCTCATTATCTGTGGAACCTTCTAGCTAATTTAAACTTAAGAAGAAGTAGTACCTACCTTAATTTCTTTGAAATGAAGATTAAAATTGTTCAGAAGTGTCCCCAAAGGTCAACAAGATATCAAATCAGTGATGCCTTGGCATTGCTCTGGCTGGATAATCCTCATGCCATAGGATAATTTAAGTGAGTCTCTTTCTAGGACTAAATGGAAAACGTTGTACTTGCCAGTGAGCTTGGTTTTTAATTTCTAATGTTGTACTTGCCATTGAACTTAGTTTTTTATTGCTAATGCCTATGTAAATTAGGCTATAGCATAGCTGGGTGGCATGGTGGGCTGTAAGGGCAGAATTCAAAAGAAGTAATTGAGAGGAAGGTCAGAAACAGCAAATGTCTCAGACCAAACCCACTGGAGCTGCAAGGAAATTGCTAAAGCCTGGTCTCCCTCGTGGGACTTGTGAATCACTGATGCTTACAGAGTGGAAGAACAGAAATGCGTTTTGGATGCTCTCTTAACACCATGGTGACATTTAACCAGCTCTTTTCCTTGCATACAGAAACGGTGGTGGCCGGAGTGGGATGTTCTGTGCCATTGGCATTGTGGTTGAGATGGTAAAAAGGCAGAACGTTGTGGATGTTTTCCATGCCGTGAAGACTTTGCGGAACAGTAAGCCCAACATGGTAGAAACTCCGGTAAGCAGCAGCCCATCGGGGTTATTGCAAACAGCCGGAGAGCCAGAGGCTCTCTTGTTGCGTGAGCTGCGTCCTCAGTCCTGTGCCCACAAAACAGAGCAAACCTGTGTTGGGCCACACGAACAATGGGACATGGGTTTTGGGTCTTGGGCTCCCCTTGTAGTGTAGACTGAGCAGCGGCTGATCTGATTCTTGGCATGAGCGTAAGGTTGGGAAATGCTACATCCTGTGGTGGAAATTTCTTGCGTGTACACACAAGTCAGCATCATGAGAGGCCAGGCTAAGCATTTTACTCTGCTTTTCTTGTAGTGGTACTGTGCTTTTCACAGAAAACATTCTGAGTTAACAGAATGCACTTTAGTCTCCCAAAATAACCTGGTCTATTTGAAGAGAAGTTGGGGTGGGTTGTGCTCGCACAAAGCATCTTGAAATTTTACAGAGCAAGACATTTCTTCTTGGTAGGAATAAGCTGTAGAGTCCAAATTAGTAGCTGGAGATGTGAATATTTTGCTTCTTTATAACAACTGCTGTTTTGAAAGCTGTATTGAATAATGATAATGTTTGTTCCTCAGATTTGTAGTAGTCAAAATGATACCTCAGGACTTTAAAATCAAAGACTTGAATCTAGTACATTGGAAATGAACATGAAGAATCATAGAATCATTTAGGTTGGAAAAGACCCTTAAGATCATCGAGTCCAACAGTTAACCTAAATAATAAACAATATAAAGAATAAACTAATATAAACAATATGAGCCTGAATTAGCAAGACCACAAGGACTAAATATTTTTATGTATATTGCCAGAACTCAAAATAGCCTTCAGTCTTCTGGTCAATCTTTCTGCGTACACGTGGATATGAGTGCATATCCATCTGTATGATCGCTTCAGTTACAAAAACTGAATGTTGTGGAAAACTCCTTAAAAAAATTCTCCCAAGTGGATTTTTTTTGCCTTCCTGTGGGTGAATGTGAAAGCAGGTTAGACAGTGTTTGGGAGTTTCTGCCATTTGACTCTCACGCTGCCAGCAGCCAGTGTCACTTTTCAGCCAGATGGCTGCCTACAGCATAAAAATCAGGGATGCCAATTGAAATTAAAAACGTTTTGCAGCTTATGCATAGTGAAAATTGCTTCTGACCTCGTGAACTTGCATATTGAGCAAAATGGCTGTAGCTGCCTCTTCCCGTATTGCCCTTTTTTCCAGTTGTCACTGTTTGCTTGGTATCAAGTAGCTTCTGTGGCATGATTTGCTTAATTAGTGTGCATCGCTTCCATCCTTTGCCACCACATAAATTAAGAAGATGGTTAAAATGTTAACAGGTAGAGCATCCTGTAGCAGCAGTGACATTGGGCTAGGTATTGCTGGTTTTGCCGCAAATACTTTGCAGTCTGCTGTGCCATAGGCGCCTGAGACACAACATATTGAATTGCTGCCTGGATTTCAGTTCACAGCTATGAAGAAAACAGGTCAGATCACATGGAAAATTACTTGTGTCACTGTAAAGGGAGGCCAAGGTAGATTGTGTGTGTTTCTGATAAATGGTCTGTAAGCTTATATTTCATTTCAAAATAGGCCTGAATTCCATTGTAGCTTTAATCTGCAGTTACTGAATTTCCGTAGTTATGTGTTTCTGTTGTGTGGGTTTTTATTCAGAACTCTTGAACAGCAGCAGCTGTTGAGTCGTTAGTTAGAAAACAAACCAGGAAAACCAATATATAACACTGTCATGTGCCCTACATTCAGCAACATGATCAGATAACAAAAATGAGCAGTGCAAGAAAGCCTTTAAGATATCCCCACCACTTCCTGCTAATGGATCACACTGGCTTCCTTTGCAAACAAAAATAAATCACAAAAGCAGATTCGTTTTGTTAGGTCGCAAGGACAGTAGAGATTGAATTAATTTCCTTGGGTTTTCTTCTCCTCCTTCCCTCTCCTCTCTCCTTCCTCCTCCCTCTCCCCCGGTATCAGCTCTGAACAGCAGCCTTGTTAGGGAGAAATACTAACCATGATGCATATTTGAGCTTTAACTTCTCTTTTAAACGTGCATCTGATCTCCTGGACGTTGGATCGGCACGACTGTACAAATGGGCTGTGGGCCCAGAGCAGCTTTCTGTCACAGCTCAATATTCCCCAGCCATTCCCTGGCTGTCCGAGCCACAGGCACTGGTTAACTGCGCAGTATCAGCTAACTTAAATATAAATGATAT